TGTGCTTAAAGCAAGATGAAGGAAGGACCATCCAGGTGATGGAAGAAGAAAAGCTGAGACCACTTCAAAAAGGGTGACTCAGATGCCAGACTACTGCTAGCAGAAGACTCAGACTGAGACAACTGCCAGCAGTAGGATCAGATCAAAAAGGATCCTCACCAGAACCAAAGCTCATATTCCCCAAATTCTACCAATTGTTAGACACAAGCAGATGTCTAAGCAGCAGACTCAGCAGACAACTGACACTCAGGTCACTGCTCAAAAGGACTGCATTAATGCTCTCAATAAGTGCCTACCAGCAGGTGCCTACCTCAGAAGCAAGGCACTTTGTCAAAGGCAAGTGTCTCATGGTAGCAGGTGACTGACAATAAACCCACTGCTAATTCTCAAACACATTCAAGTTACCTGAGTCAATCATCTTGGCATCAATTGAGGGGGAACTAGAAAATTCCATGACTAAAGGAGACTTCTAAGGAACATCATCTAAGGGGAAATGGGTATTGCTCTACAAGAGTCATGATCAATGGAACAGATGAATCAACACTCTGAGATCAAGTATTATTCATAAAGGTACCATGCTCATTCATTCAAACTCAGTAGTATGGAATAATCAAAAAACGCTACTATTCTGAAAAATCCTAATTTTTATTAGTGAAAATCCATCCTAATAAAATAAAGGATACTCAACAAAATAGTTAGCACCTTATTGATTACTGTTGGTCATAAACCTAAAAGAAACAGTAGTCTAGAATTTTCCATATCTAAGCCAACAAGAACATACACGAGGAAGTATCAGACTTCATCAATGCTAAAGAAGGCTATGAGACATGCAACATGCAAGAACGACACTTGCTGATCCAAGATTAAGCGGCTTCATAAATGATAAGACACCAATATCATTTAATTCTCACGCTTTCTCTTCAAAAGAGAAACCTGCCGCTTAAACAGGTCTTGGTTAAATAAAAACTAATCTCGGAAAACGAAGAGATCATCTGCACAATTGGATATAAATCCCTCCTCCAAAGCCGATGTTAGTTCATTCCAAATTCTTCCTTAGAGCTCCGATATCCTTACTCTTCCTTAATCTTCCTCAAAAATGGCCGATAACAACTCCAACAACAAACCTTTTGAACCATTCCTAAACCTCTCACTAGCCCAACCTTCCTCCACACAACAGCCTACTCCACAACAGCTGGATCAAGAAGAATTCTTAAACTTAAGAATCCAGTCTCTCAAAGAAAAGGAAGCTCTTGAAAACCAACTCACAAGAGTCCTCAACTGGAGAAAATGGAGAACGGCCCCTATTGACATGCTCTCTCAAGCCACTGCATTTGTCAGAGTTGAAGAACAATTTGTTCTTCAATAGCTTCAAGCCCCAAATGTGGAAGCTGCCATGAACATCCCTGGAATTTGGCGAGTCTTCTATGAGAAAATGAACAACCTCAGAGAGAAGGATCATCAAAGGATGCAGAAGAGGCTCTCAAACCTTGCCCAAGGAGAATCATCAAGCAGAAGGAGAAGGACCGAGTGATTTGTGAATGCTACCAAAAGAGGGGGAAAGAGAGTTTTAGTGATTAGAACTCTTCTTTTGGCATCATCACAAAAGGGGGAAATTGTTAGACCCTAGATTTTGATGAACTGTTTTTGATGATGCCAAAAGCTTTTGTTATCCCCCCTCTATTGTAGCATTATTATAAGAGTCTTTGTTATCCTCTGTAGTAGCATCTTGTCTAGTACTAAGAAAATTATCTAGATGTGTCGTGCTCCTTTTTATATAGTTAACAAATAAATATGACTGGAAAACCATAAAATACAATAAGGCAATATTGTATTGCCTTAAAAGGATATCGTATAAATCCAACCAGTTAAATTTATTTGTTACACACAATAACATCTCGCACAAATAAACTATCTATTTTAACTGGAAAACAAAATGCAATAAGGTAATTTTACCTTAATAGGAGTTGATATCCTACCAGTTAAATATTTAGCTTATCATGTTCGAAATACTAGATAAACCATACACTCAGAAGAAGAGTTCTTGATATTCTATTCACTACAACAAATAACAATGTAAAATCTATATAACAAAAAGAACACACTGGGATTCAAAATGAAATAAGGTAAAGTTGTCTTTATCTTAAAATTGGATATTTAAATCCAACCAGTAAAGTGTTATTTGATATATAGATAAATCAAAGTGAACAAGAATAGTGAACAACTAACTGGAACACAAAATGCAATAAGGTAATAACTTTTACCTTAGTAGGATTTGTTATCCTACCAGTTAAGTTGTACACAATACCTGCTAAACTACACAAGTACTTAAAAGTGACAAGAATTCCAATGTACAAACTATGTATCAGATTAAACATACTGGAACTATAAAATGCAATAAGGTAAAAATTATTTACCTTACATGGATATTTAGATCCAACCAGTATAGCTTTAATTTGGTACATAAGTTTAATCATGTCACTTAAAGAAAGAAAGTGATTAGTAAAATAAGTGACAAATTTTACTGTGAAATTTGTACCAAATAAATTATACTGGAAAGAACAAAATGCAATAAGGTAATCTTATTACCTTAATAGGATATTTCAAAGATCCTACCAGTACAAAATTTATTTGATACAAAATATTCTAAGTCACACATTTTACTACTTCACTACTTAAGCAGGTTCACGCACTCAGCTTCACGAGTATAGTTGCAAGACAAGGCCAAAATGCAAGAGCAGAGAAGACATCAGAATGGGTGAATAGTGAAGAAGTTTCAGAATAGGCATGCAGCGATAAGAAGGCCTAAGATATGGGTGTTATCTTCGTACAAAGCAAGTGGTCTTCAAAAGACAAATCCTTATCCTGCTCCAACACAAGAAGACGCAAGTACAACACTTTGGACGTCTAGGATTAAATCCTCTTAACCAACGGAGGAGATTAATCTACTGGAGATGCCTATAAAAATAGGCAGAAGCATGAGATCAAAAGTAAGTCATTGAGTTCAAAGCAAGTGGTTCAGTCATTACACTACGCATATCCAGCAAAAGAGAAAGTGTTTGAACACTCTGCTTTGACTCATGCTTCACTAAGCTCTTAGATTAGATCATAAATTGTCATATTTTTAGAGCTTAGATTTTAGTTGGTAGGCCAGAAATTCCTTGTATTTTACAAGTGGTTGTAAACACTTAGGAGAACAGTTGTTCGGATCCTATAGTGTGGTTAGATAGATAGAGTACCTTTTGATCCCCACTGGATCAATCGAGAAAAGTCTTAAGGACTGAGTAACTTTGAGTGGTGTTATACTCATCGTGAAAAACCTTCAATCTAGGCCAGAGTTGTCAAGGCTAGATTGGCACTAATTGTATTGGGCTGAATACTTTAGTGGAAATCCATCTGAAATAGGGTGGGACTGGATGTAGGAGGATTACACCACCTCTGAACCAGGATATATCGTGTGTTGATTTACTTTCATACATGCAGAAGCACACACCAAACACATCTCACTAAAGGATTGTAGTTTGCCAGCAGCATCCTAAGCAGTAGTCTTCATCGACTGTACTGCTTAGCCTACTGCTTAATAACTCACTCTCCTTGAGAGTGTTTTCCACTAGAAGTTATCTTACACTCAGAAGGTGCCTCAGCAGTACCCTGGTCTTCACCCTCCTGCTGAGCCCACTGCCCATCCATATGTGTCTTTCCGAACGCCATAACAAGCCAGAACAAAAAGCCATCCAAGAGTCATCCTGTTCTTAACAGTTGCCTCAGCAGTAACCTGCCCACCAGCCGACTGCCAACTCAGCAGTTGCCTGCCAGTCAGCAAACTGCCTGTGCAGCAGTAGACTAAGCAGTTACCTGCTCACCAGTCTACTGCCAAGCCTACTTCCTCTTGTAACCAGTCTAAACATCATCTAAACTAGAAAGTTATCTCACACTAAGTATAAAGAGGTTAAAGACTTCCGCTGTGCATCTATTAATCTCTTAAAAGATTATAGATCAACTCATCTAGAGGGAAAACTTCATAAAGTTGAAAAAGATTTAAAAGTCTATTCACCCCCCCCCCCCCCTCTAGACTTTTACCTCTATCCGGGACCATCAATGTGGAAGTGTGGAACTTCAAATGTCCCAAATTGAAATATTGAAATACTTTTTTTTCTTCATTTTAATTTTGTAGTTCCAAAGTTTCAAATGGATTATTTTATCCAAATTTATTCATTTTTTACATCGAAAAGTCGCATTATTAATTCTATAATTATTCAGAAAAAAGTTTAAAAAAACATTTATAACACTCCCTCCGCTTGGTACTTAGTAGCCCATCGCACAAAATTTGATCAAATTAACTTTTCTTGGTCAATAAAATAAACTTTGAACAATGATTTTTAGTTGTAACATTTATGTGAAATTTATAATTTTTAGACTTCCAGGAATCATGAAGCATATTTAGCGAAGAATATTTTTCATATATCTTTCATATTTTAAATAAGTTCATATAAAAAAATATAATTAGCCACACTTGACAATTATTGATCAAGAAAAGTCAATATGGACAAGTTTTGTGTGACGGAGAGAACAATATCATAACGAAAAAATTATACAAATATTACTAGTTTAAATGTCATTAACAAAAATATGACTATGAATTAAATGAATATAAACGCTTTCTTAGTATTCCTCATTTGACCTTCCGGTTGCTAAAGTTTTCAGTTTCCTTCTCCCGTACGATTTATTCTCACGGTTATCTACTCCATTTAAACGCACAACCAGTAACCCAAGAAACATGGGTTCTATTCATCTCTCTGCTTCAGTTACTTGAGCTTAGTCATGGTTCATTGGTTCATTACTAGAATATCATTACTATGTCGCCTTGTCCAGACACACAAATGCACACCCACCAACATGCTTTCTATTCCTTTCTCAATCTAAGTTGCTAAGAATTACCATCGTTTCATTACTCCAATATCACTACTGTCTACTCAAACCCAAAAACAACTTTTCTATTCATTGCTCGTCCTAAGTTACTGGGAATCCTACCGTATCATTACTCAAACATCATTACTCAAATTCAAAGTCATGTACAACCGCAAACCCAAAACATGCTTTCTATTCATTTATCACCCCGAGTTGCTTGAAGTAACTATCAAATCATTACTACACTATCATTAATCATTATTATCTACTTCGGCTGGTTCAAACTCACCATCGGAAACCCAAAATGAATCAAATAGTCAAAATTACATCTTATTCAATTAATGTGAAGTAATTTATAAACAAAGGAGTCACCGTCTTATATTTTCTAAGATTAAGTTAGAAAGTAACCGTTTTAGAATTTTAGGGCAACTAGGTCTTTTCCCTAAATTACTCGCTACCCATCGTACGTGTTCGGTAATGCTGGTCACTTTTTTGTAAACCACTTTAATATTAGTAATATATATATATATATAACTCTATAATAACAATTTATGAACTTAATATGTAAAAAATATGCATAGTGACTCTGATGGATTGCAAGGGAAAATTGTACTAAACAGGAATACGTTGTATTCATATATATTCATATAAACAGGAATAGATATTTGTATATATTTATGGTGAACGGATAGAAGACCTCAAGACCTTCCCTCAAGGAGCTCCATAATCCCCATTTCAGCTTCCTGAGCAGCAACTTTCTCTCCAAACATTGAACCCACACGGTGTTTGTGTTGTTTGTGCAGCATCATTTTACTCTTGACTAGATATATGGCAAAACATCAACGCTGGCACCCTGGAGTAGTGTCTTTCACTTTATTTGCAAGAAGCCAAGAATTGTGATATGAAGCAGAATCTGGGCTTGGAAGAAGAGGGGCAGAAGCCCCCGTGGGTTTACCGAAGGCTGGACGGGCTTGAGCCCACCTTCGTGGGCTATTTGCGGGCTGTTTAATTAATATTTATTATTCCTTTTATTTTGTTTCCTAATTTAATTTGTTTCCTAGTAGGATTTATTTAGGACTTCTATTCTTATTAGAATTAGAGGTTTCCTATTTCTATTTAGTTTCCTAGAATGATTTAATTAGGAGTTCTATTAGAACTAGAGGTTTCCTATTCTATTTAGTTTCCTAGATTAATTTATTTAGGATTCCTATTCTTATTAGACCTAGAGGGTTATTTATACCCCTTGTATGCTTCATTCTTGAGGATCGGGGGATAAAAGTTGGTTTAGCCTTTTGGCTTTAGGCAACGGTATTTATTTATCGTTGATTATCGGGCAACGGTTCATACCGTTGATTTTATTTTTTCTGTTCTTATCAAATTGCTATAATAATGTTATAATACAACAACAACATCCAAGTCTTAGTCCCAAAACATATTGGGGTCGGCTTTAATGTTATAATAGTGCTGAAAAAAACATTTTTTGTTGCCTACCAATATGAAGAATAGATCCCACGTGTGGAAAGAATAAAAAACCAATTGTTTCCAGGATTTATTTCCTTATGGTTGAACTCTGTAAAAATTAGGGATAGAAAATAGAGAAGAAAAAAGAAACAGTGGATATTTTGAAGAAAAAATAGGTGGGGGAAACTAAAAATGTTCAGCAAAGTATCAAACTCATTAAATCAATTTTACATATTTGTTCAACCCCGTGTCCCCATCATCATCATCATCAATTTTACATATTTGTTCAACCCCATTTTATTTAAATGTTTATGTTATATACTAGTATTATATAAAGGCTATGAAATAAAAGTAAATGTAAAAAAACTTAAGAGAATTGTAAGGAAGGATTTATCTTGACATACCGATCCATAGAGCCGGAAGGTGATTTTATAACTAAATGTCTTCTCAACTTGCTCTTTCTCTTTGTACATCCGGAGTCAAATTTTTGTTAAACCGTCATGACAATACATTTTTAGCAACATCTTCAGACATGAGTATATATATATATCCAAGATAAAATCCAGTTTGAACATATCCGGAACAGATGTTTGCCAGAAATTTGTAGCGAAATCTATCACCAGAAATCCCCACAAGAACATATGCCACCCTTAAAACAGTGAAACCTGTGGCAATCCCTCACTGTAATCTCACGTCCAGTTATGACAGTAATAAATTTGATAGCATTGTGACAGTCACCGCATATCCTCAAGTTTTTAAGAACAAGTAGAGGCATCCCTTCTTTTGTTGATAAGAGCCCAAAAGCAACAGCCAGCTTCTCACTGTGATGCCTCAGGCTTCTCTCCTTCTCTTCCTCATGAATGCCCCCGTATTCATCTCTAATGAGGACCCACTTCAAATCTGCCACATACCCTGCTTGCTTCAACTTTTCTGACATCTCTTCCCAAAAGACATATATCTCCTTTATCATCGGATGAGAATGATCTTGCGCTACGAAAATGTGTACCCTCTTGTCCACCTCTATCCAACTACGACCCGGTTTCTTTTTAACCCCTTTGTCACGCATTTGTTTTCTTATGGCCGCTACTTCTTCCCATCTTCCAGCACCGGCATGGATATTTGCAAGCATGACGTATGGAGCTGCATTCATGGGGTCCAGCTCAAGACAGTGTTCGGCTGCTTTCATTGCTAGCTCTGTGTTTCCATGGACTCTACAAGATCTAAGCAATGTTCCCCACCCGATAGCCCCAGGATTGTATGGCATGCTCTCTATAAGACTCTCTGCCTCTTCTAGATTTCCAGCTCGTCCCAAAAGGTCAATCATGCATAAGTAATGCTCTCCTTCTGGTTTGATTCTTAATTCCTCAGTCATCATACTAAAATACTTCTTACCCTCCTCTACTCTTCCAGTGTGTGCACATGCAGACAGGACCGAAATGAATGTTATACTTGTGGGCCCCACGTCACTATTATTATTCCCTCCAAGCATCTGCTCAAAGAGTATGAGGGATTCCATGGCATGCCCATGCTGAGCATAGCCTGCGATCATGGAATTGAAGGACACACTGTTGTGCTCGGGCATTCTGTCAAATACTTTAATGGCATCTTGTAGATTACCACACTTGGAATACATTGTGATAAGAGCATTACTGACAGTGAGGGTTCTGGTTGCTGGGATGTATGATTTGATTGTTAAAGAGTGAACCTGTTTCCCTTGCAAGGAAAGATTAGAACATGCACTGATCACACAAACAAAACTGCATTCATCGGGTTGGTGGCCCACACGCTGCATTTGCCTAAAGTAAGCAACAGCCTCTTCAGAAAAGTCATCGAAGAGGGAACAACCAGATATCATGGTGTTCCAAAGGATTAAGTCTGGATTGGGGATTTCTTGAAATACTTTTTTGCAATACGGGATACCATCTTTGCTGCATTTCGAGTAAAGATCAATCAAGCCACTACCAACATGAGTATTCAGGTGAAACCCCATCTTGATCAGGCGAGCGTGAAACTGAAGGCCCCCAAGAAAGTCCTCCATGGATGTAAAAGCAGTTAAGACACTCGCTAATGTAAACATGTCCTCTTTTAACTCCAAGCTCATCATTTCTTGATACAAAGATAGCGCCTTGGACCCTACTTTATGTTGCCCATAAGCAACAATCATCGAATTCCAGGAGACCCCGTCTTTAATCTCTCCCATTGCTTCAAAAACTTTCTTGGCATAATCTAAATGCCCGTTTTTACCGTAACATGTTAGAAGAGTGTTATTTACAGAAACAAATGCATCAAACCCGCCTGAAACAGCAAAAGAATGAAGCTGAAGAATCAATATCTTATCATCACAAGAAGCTGTGATGGCTCCTGACAATGTAAAGGCGTCGATGTCCAGCCCCGTTCTTCTCAAACCCAGAAATAGTTCAAGAGCAGGTAAGGTGTCCCCACGATCAGCGTAGGCAGAAATGAGGGTGTTATAAGAGACAAGGTCCGGTTGGGGAATTTGATCAAACAGGTAGTGTGCGGTGTGCGGCTGGCCTTCTTTCGCGTACGCAGCTACTATGGCATTGTAGGTAAAGACATTGGGAGACGGGGTAGAGTCAAATGCCTTGCGGGCATTGGAGAGGCGGCCGCATTTGGAGTAGAGGAGGATGAAGTGGTTGGACATGTAGGTAGAGGGCGGGATAAGGAGGGATTTGATGTACATTGTGTGGAGGGACTTGCCAGTCCAAAGGTCCCTCTCGGCTATGCATGTCTTCAAAATGTGGCGAAACTGTTGAAGACTCCACCACACTTGCTTCATCTAATATGGGTAAAGCTATCCTGTCATGACATTACATGCATATTTATAGGTAACAGAAAATTCACAAAAATATAAGTCAACAATAAAAGCTAAAATTAACAAATACAATTATAAATGATTGATTAGTGAAACAACTCATCAAACCGATATGAACTTTCACTCAGTTACGGTTCTGTCTTTCTCTACTTCTACTTTTCACTTTTTAATATTTGATAAAGGAGATATGATTCGTGTAGTTTTCATTATTGAAAAAAATCCACTTTTGGTCCTCCGAGTTATGCACCAATTCCACATTTAGTCCTCATCTTTCACTTTATCCATTTTTGGTACCTGACTATTGTTTTCTTGACCATATATAGTCCTTTTTCAGTAGTAAAAATGTCCAGAGATGGACCGAAAATGGTCGGAAAAACAATAGTCAGGTACCAAAAATGGATAAAGTGAAAGATGAGGACTAAATGTGGAATTGGTGCAAAACTCAGAGGACCAAAAGTGAAATTTCTTCTTTCATTATTTGTAGATAATTATTGACAATTCAATGGTAACTCTGAATTTTTTCAAGAGTGGTGATCATCTTAACACAAGCACACAATTTTTGGAAGTAGTAAAAGAGTTATTACAAAGTAGTGAAAGTTGATAACCTTTGATTGAACATTAAATGAACATAAAACATTACAACTTCCTTGCCAGTTACAAATGATCAGCAGCCTATGTAATGTGTCTACCATCTCCTTTGAGCTATCATGCTCACATAAGAGGACTATCTCACTCTGTAGTCTGTACTTTCATTTTATACTACTTATATTTGATAAGTAAACAGAAATGCCTTATGCCTGTACTGGATTTCCTCGACTTTGCGTAAAAAACATGTACTTAAATATGATAGTATGTGTATACTATTGGCTTCCTGTGAATTCAGATGAGTAATTTTTACTAATGTTCTATGGTGTAAGTTTACTATGAGTAAATGCATGTCTACTGATGCCTATATGGTACGAGTATATGCCAATGGTAGTTTTTACTCCAAATGTTGATTATATCGACTTCTCTAAATTCAATGGTGTGTCTCCATGATCTCCTCTAAACTACCATGCTCACCCAAGTGCATCTCATTATGTATCTTCAATTTATACTTTTTACCGTTAGTATTACTAAATTTCCTCGATCTTGGGAGAAAAAATGTACATTAAAAAAAATGTATACTATAGCATTTCTCTCGATTTAAAGGGGTACACTTTTTATCTTTTTATCTTCTTTTTAACGGTTAGTAAAAAGGAGTTTTTTGTTCTTGAATTCCTTCGTTTGGGCAAATAAGCATCCACCATTTGACTATCACTATATCACTACTTAACTACCACTATTGCTAAAACGTTTTTAAAAAGGGAAAAAGACTTAGTAAGACTAAAACATGGCTGGGAAAGTAAATAGGAGTTCAAATTTTTTAAACCGTAAATAGGAGTAATTTTGAACTGAAGGGACAAAACTACCTTTACTGATGACGCTGCCAGCAGCTGCGATTCTGAGTCATCATGTTCCCGTCGGTACCTTTGTTTGTAGGGACGGTGTGGTCGAGTTGGTATACGGTGCGGTCACAATAGGACGGCCGATTCGATAGGAGCACCGCCGCGCCGCCGCGCCGCCGAGACGGAAAATACAGTTGGCCGGACATTAGTATTGAATGGTTGCCGCCGAAGGACCATTTCCGGGCCGGGTATCAGCTGTAAATGTGTGGGAAGAGCGCAGGGGACTCATGCCTCGATGAGTCAGCAAGAGCGTGGGCTCTTAACATGGCTTTCATTGACGCCTTGACGGGTACTACAAAGAGCACCGGGATTTCACGGGGGGACACCGGTGCTGGGTTCCAAAAACAGAAAATAAAAAAAAAGTGAATCAAAATAAATCGGAACCACGACCAAATTATCTGCATGTTTGCAACACCTTCTGCTTTAAAAAAGTGTTTTTTTAATGAAATGGGGAGAAGTGATTAAATAAAAGATGATAATGTTTCAGAAAAAAGTGATTTTGAAAAGTAAAAATGGATAGTATTTGGTAAAATAAGTGTTTTTTGTGTAATAGAAAAAATAAAAGTACTTTTGACGCGGAAACCGAGAAAAATAAAAGTTGTAGTGTTTGGAAAAATAAATGTTTTTTTAAAACCAAAAACTGAGAAGTGCTTTTTTAAAAGCTGTTGCAAACAGATCCTAAACAATCGAATTGTAGTTTAATTTGGTTTTGGTTTTGTCCCTTCAAAATTGAACCTAATGAATTAAACTAATTGAAATATGAAATTTTATTTATTACAGAGTAATTGTTAAGCATTAATCCTAATATTATTGATAGTTTTTGGTTTTCTTTAGCTAAAATTTAGAAAAATAATATTTTGTATTATATGTTGATGGACAGTCTACCCGGGGGGTATCTTATCCGAGGGGTTGTTACGGGAATAACTTAGAGAGAAGTCAGAGAAGATAGGAGGAGGGAGAGTCGATTTTATTAAATGAACTCGAGATGTGGAGTTGAGATGTAGATCATGTCCGTTACAAGGAGAAACGGGCTGCTATTTATAGCAGCAATAAATGCGATGAGAGGACACGTGTCAGTAATCCAACGGCCGAAGGGTCACATCAGCCTGGTGGCACCGGCAGTGGTACGTCAACCGCATTGAATGCGGTTGGTGGATGCGACGTGGCATTAAATGCGGTGGTTGGCTGTCTCTAAAAGGAATCTTCGATGATTGAGCTTGTTCAGCCGAAGGCACCTTGTGTTGCCGAAGGCACCTTGTGTTGCCGAAGGCACCTTGTGTTGCCGAGGGCTCCTTGTGTAGCCGAAGGCTCCTTGCGTAGCCGAGGGCTTCTTGTGTAGCCGAAGGCTTCTTGTGTAGCCGAAGGCTCCTTGGGTAGCCGAGGGCTCCTTGTGTAGCCGAGGGCATGAGAATGCCGAAGGCTCATCTTTTTGTCCGTTTTCTTCCGGTAGCTTCTTATGCCAGAGAAGGCTATCCTGTGAGTTTTTGGAGCCTTCGGCCAAGGAGGCCGAAGGCCCCCCAGTGTGTATTCTGGGCTGCTTTGAGGCTTGGGCCGCCGCATTTTGGGCCTGAGTCGTTCCCTGGGCCCCATGAACTTGTGTAGGAGAAGTAGGAGTCTATGGGCCGGGGGTTCCTGGGCCATATACTCCATCAGGAGTCCCTCACTCCTTTTGCCGAAAGGTACTTGAGGGAAAAGGAGTAGATGTGTTGATTCTTCTGGGGGCTTCATCATTTGGTTGGGTGCCTTTGCTTGAGAACTTGCCTCCTGCTGATTCCTGAAGGCTTCCCCCAGTCCCTCACATGTCGAGGGTTTTCTGAAGGAAGTATAATACTTGTATGAATGTCGGAGCCTCTTCTCAGTCCCTCACATGTCGAGGGTTTCTGAGGGAAACTTTTGATACTTTATTTCGCTATTGCCGAAGGGTACACTGGGTCACGTACCCGAGGGGCCGTGTGCGTTACTTGTGGGTTTTTGTATGAAGAAGTTTTTGTTCCGTAAGATTTCCGAGGGGTGTATCCCAGTCCCCCACTCCTTTAGGCCGAAGGCAAGTTCGGGCTGAAGGAGTTATAGTGTGTTGTTGGGTTCTCCGAGGGGTTAGCCGAAAGCTTGTACTATTATCTGCTCGAAGCCTCTCGCAGGTGGTGGCCGGGGGCTACCACCCAATATACACGTCGAGGAGTGGCAGCATTGACAAGTGAAGGATTTTGTTGCTGCCGGCTCGAAGGCGTTATGTTGGAAATTCATTGGCTGAAGGCTGTGGTGGGTGATAGCCGGAGGCCATCATTCGAGGGCACCCCAATGTTGCCGAAATATAGTCGTTGTAATATAGCCGTTGGAAGAGGGGTTGACGTGGCGCGTTCCCGTTGGTTGAAAGGGGGCGGGTGTCACCCATAGGCTGAGGCGGCGGCCCGTAATGATGGGCTTTTCAAATCGAAGCCCAAATCTCGAGGCCCAGTTGCCTATAAATACCCTGAGCCTGAGCTCCTTTGTCCTTGCGCGATTTTAGAGAGATAGCGGAGCTCTGCCAATTTTTCTAGAGAGAGAAAGTACTCCCTTCGGACAAGGTCCATCCCCGAGGTTAGTTCTTCCATCTGTTGAAACACTTAGCATATTTTTCCTTCCTCCCCCTTAGTCCAGTGTTAGAGTGCCCTTAGGACACCCTTAGCCTTCATTTCTTCCATATTACCGAGGAATGTCGTCGGCTAGCGATTCTCAAGACATCTCCAGGGAGGCTTCGGTGGCATCGGAGAGCCAGTCCGAGGTAGAATCCTCCAGCGTGCAGTCTTCGGATAATAACGACTCCGTTTTTGCCGAGGAGATCCAAGACACCCTCAGGATTGAGGCCGAGGCCGAGGAATTCGAGCAGGTAGTAGAAGATGAGGAGCTGGCCCTCGCTGTTCAGACTGCCGAGGAGGAGGAAGAAAAGGAAAGGCTGAAGGTGACCGTGGCTGTCTTGCCGGCGCGCAATGATGCAGAGGCCAGCTGTTCGCACCCCCTGAATCCGGAACCTCTCAGCGTGGCTCCGGGTAAGAGGAAGAAAAAGCTGAGGGCGGTCCCGAAGAAGAAGAAGGCGGCTGCCGATGCTGGGCAGCCGGTTGGCATCCCCGAAGGCCACTCGTATCTTAACACAGCAGCCCTTGACGTAAAGACGAAGGCCGGGGAGGCTGAGTACCTCAAGACCCAGCTTTTGGTGGGGCCTTCGGCGTTAGTAGTAGAGCCGGGGCCTAACGACGTGTTGCTGCATCCTCCGGAGGGTTGCTTCGCCGTGCATATTCTCTCAGTGGAATTGGGGCTTCGCTTCCCTCTCCACTGGTTTGTTTTGGAGTACTTGCGTTTCGTGAAGCTGGCTCCCTATTTGGCGGGCTTCCTGTCCCTGTGTCTCAGCCGGGGGGTTACCCCCACATTGGACTTATTCTTCCAATCCTTCAACCTCTGCCGGGGGGGTCATTCGCACGCGGGAGGCTTCGCGAACCTACAACAAATCCCGGAATGGAGATTGTTCTCGGAGGTCCCTTCCTCCCATAAGAATTGGAAAGACCGCTTCTGCTATATAAGGATGGCGGAGAATCCTTTTTCCGTCCCCCTCCGAGATCATTTCCGGAGGCACCCGAAGGTGGGAAATGCTGCCCTTGCCAAGGAGGGGAAAAAGCTGACGGCCAAACCGGACGGCTCAGATAAGGTGATGAAGATAAAGGAAGCTACCCTCTCGGATGAGTTATACCGCCTTGGTTTTCGGCGATACCGTCTTGCCGGGGAGAAGGACGAAAGATATCCCCTTGTTGACAGGGGCTACCAAGGCGCCGGAGGTTGTTGCCGAGGGCCCACATTCTTAGTACTCAGAAGTTTTTCTATTCCCATGATTGCCACTGTCTAACATTTATTTCCCTCCCTTTCAGGTCAAGCAATGGACGTCAAGGCCTATGCCGTATTGAAGAAGAAGGCGTCGAAGGCGCCAAAGAAGAAGGAAGGGCCGTCCCAGCAGAAGCCAGTGGACGAGTTTTTCAAGAAGGGCGATGCCCCCCGGACCCAAGGACGTGAGGAGCCTTCGGAGAACATGGCTCCCGTCGATACCGGTGCTAACGCCGGTAGCTCCCAAGCAGAGGAGCTGAAAAGGAAGCGGTCCGGGAAGGGCGTGGTGCTCCCGGAGAAAAAACTGAAGAAAGTGGAGATCGCCCCCGGGGGAGATGCTCCCTTGGTGGTTGTGGATGACCAGCCTTCTTCTCCCGAGCCCCACATCGGGTGGGTGACCACCCCGCGCTCCCCTGCGGATCCGGAGACAATATGGCCCCGGGAGGAGGTTCATTTTCCCCTCAAGAAGGGGAACGCCGTCATGCTTGGGTCTCTCGACCCTTTGGAGTTTATGAGGGGGGTCACCCCTTCAAAGGACAGGCTTGTGCTGTCCAAGTACGAGGATGATGTCCTCGACTGCAGGATCATGCAAGCTTCCGTCACCGTAAGTTCCGTCGTCCCCTTTTTTTTTTTTTTTTTTTTTTTTTACTCAATTGATTTGCCTTGGCATTCTTCCTTTGCTCATCTTGACCGTCGGTATATTTTATGTGATTGCAGGCTACCATGGCCCTCGGAGAGCAACTCCGGAGGGTGGACAGATTGCGTGTGCAGAAGGCGCAAGCTGACCTCGCCTTGAAGAAGGCGGTTGAGGAGAATGCCTCCTTCCGAAAGAAGATGACGGAGATGGAGGCAGCCCTCTGGGCGGCAGAGGAGGGTATGGAGCAGAGGCTGAAGGAGGCGGAGGCAAAGGGTAAAACCACTGCCGAGGAAGCTGCGAGTGCTGCCGCCAAGCTCGCCGCCGAAGCTGCCGAGGTGGCAAAGAAGGAGGCTATTGCCGAGGCTGGGAAGGCTGCAGTGGATTCCTTCGTCACCGAGGGCTGGAAGGCCGAGGGCCGGAAGCAATGGCTAGCCTCGGTCATTGAGCAATCCGTGGACGGTTGGGTGGCGGGCCCCGGGGCTGAATGGTTGGCCCGGAAGGGTAAAGACTACTACGATGGCGGAGAGTTCTTTACTCAACGCCTCGTGTACCGAAGGCTGGCCCGCCACCTGAAGATCGAGGCGAAAGAGTTTGACCCCGCATCCTACGGCCTACCCCCTCTGCAGCCGGATGTCAGGGTACCCCTCCCCCCGGACGAAGAGAGGCCAGACCTCGAGGATTCTGAGCTGCTAATGGAGGCCGGAGATGCCGAGGAGGAGGCCGGGGATGATGCTACCTCCAAACCGAAGGGGAACGTTACAGAAGATGTCCGAACTTAGGAATTCTCCCAAGTCGAAATCTGTAATAGATTGTAGGTGGTAGGACTTGGCCATGTTTTGTAAACCATACATTCTTTG